AGTTACTTGGGCTTACCCCTAGGTGACAACCCCAGGAAGGGTAGGTTTTGGGACCCAGTGGTGGAGAGATTTGAGAAAAGGCCCACTTCCTGAAAGAAGAACTATCTCTCCTTAGGGGGGAGGATCACACTGATTAGGGCAACCCTAACTAATCTACTAGTTTACTTTCTGTCAATGTTTAAGATTCCCTCTCAAGTAGCTAATAGGTTGGAAAAGTTGAGGGATTTTCTGTGGAAGCCAGGAGAGGAAAGGAGGGACCATAGGGTGGGATGGGAGGTGGTAACAAGAAGCAAGAAACAAGGAGGATTGGGGATTGGGAATATTAGGAAAAGGAATTTGGCATTATTGGGGAAGTGGTTATGGAGATTTCCTTTAGAAAGGGGCAAAAATAATGGCTAGCATTCATGGGATGGAGGACAATGGGTGGGATAATGGAATCATGGCAAGGACTACAAGCACATCTCCTTGGAAAGCCATCCATAACCTTCTTCCAGTTTTCTCCCAATGGACCATGTATGTCTTGAACTCAGGCAACCTTATCAAATTCTAGGAACAAACTTGGGTAGGGAACTCTCCTTTGCTGATCCAGTTCGCCTCTCTATGTGCTCTCTCTGATCTAAAGTATATTCCCATTTCATCCTTTTTAGTCCCCTCAGATGCAACCTTTGGTTATGGGTGGAATTTGAACTTGAGAAGGGCGGTTTGGGACACAAAGAAAACACTATGTCCCTTTTGGCATTGCTTGAAAATGTTTTTCTAGACTCCCAAAAGGAAGATTGTAGAATTTGGACCCCCTCCCCTTCGAGCTCTTACTCTTGTGCTTCTTTCTTTAAAAACCTAACTCGACAACCTACTTCCCTTGGCATGTCTTTCGCTATAAAAGACATATGGTGCAAACTTATCCCTCCTCGGGTTGGGAGCTTTTTGTTGGGAATCTTTCCTGGAAAGAATTAACACTTTTGATCTTCTCCATAAAAAAAGACCCAAGACTTGTTTATCCCTGCATAGGTGTATTCTTTGCAAAGCAGATGGAGAGAATGGGTACCACTTATTAGTGTCTTGCCATTATGCAAAAATTGTTTGCGATTGGGCTTTATCCCTTTTTGGGTGTAGTTGGAACCCTCCTTTGAATGTACAGAGTATGTTCTCTCCATCTTTCTTCAGCTGACCAATAAAAAGAGAAAGGATAATGTGGAAGAGTATAAGGGCAGCTGTGTGTTGGTCTTTGTGGGAAGAAAGAAACTCCAGATTATTTTTAGATAAGGATAGGAATGCTGAGAACTTAACAGAGTTGATCCACATATGGGTAGCACATTGGCTGAAATCCCTGGACCTGTTTTCAAACTTTACCATGGATGATTTGTTGAGAAGATGGAAAGAAATTGCAAGTTCTTCCCAGGTTAAAAGGGTCATAAGTCCATGGATTCCCCCTCCTGGTGGTTGTATAAAGCTGAATTTTGATGGCAGTAGCATGGAGAATCTAGGGCTGTCAGGTATTGGAGGGATTTTCAGAAATGAGGAAGGGAATGCCTTAGCCCTTTTCTCTGGCCCGATTGGCGAGGGTGATTCTCTTGGGGCTGACATTTTAGCAGCCTTGGAAGGGATTCAAAGGGCAAGAGAATTGAATATTAGGAGATTGATTATTGAAGGTGATTCGGAGGTAGTGGTAAATTGGTTAAAGGAAGATAAGACAGGAATGTGGAAATACAGCAATGAGAGGAAAAAGTTCAACTGGTTGGCAAAGGATGTTGAGATAAAGTACAGCTGGGTGAAAAGAACTGCAAATTCCTTCCCTGATGGGCTAGCTAAGCAAGGGGTGAATAGGGATTCTTTGTTTTGGGCTTATTTCTAACTATCCATATTTCCTTAATAACTATCCATAATTTTCATAAGAAAAGTATAAACTTCATGTTAAAGTATAGAAAATCAACATATTCATGAGAAGAAAAAGTGTTGATTAGACAAAATTTTAAGTGGAAAAGAAAAAAAAAAGAAAAGGTGGAAGAAGAAGAAGAAGTGGAATAAGAAAATGTGTTGATTAGACAAGATTTTAAGTTCTTCCTTACTTATTGGTTCAGGTTAGCAATGTTTGTGTTGATTAAACCCTAACAAATAAGAAAATAATAAAAAGAAATTAGTATATAAACAATTAAACACACAAAATGAATATTTTAGTTTAATAATGTTTATTTTCAAATTATCAAAAAAATATAGTCTATTTTACAATTATAATCTCAAAAAATTAAGAATATAAAAGTATTTTATAACACAATATACAAAACTGCTTAGCAATAAAGTGAGGCGAGCCTCCAAGGGTGCCTGCCTAGGCATCGCCTTGACAACTATGAAAATGAGTTACAAGAGTGTTACAATATCCCAAAGGTGCATTGGGGCATAAACTGCTATATAAGGATGGTTGACTTTTTTTTATCAGTATAAGGATGGTTGACTTTTACATCTAAAAGGATATAGTTATACAAATATCGATTGGGTTGGATCTTCTAATAGAAGGTCCACCACTTGGTATCATATGTTCTTTTTTCTTGAAGGATAAAAATAAAAAATCATTAAAAAAAACTGATTACAGATGGCAGCAGGTGTTGAGACAGCACCCGGAGCAACACAAGCCAAATACAACAAAAACAAGAAAGAAACAAGAAAAGGGTGACACAACTTCCAGAAAACTTCCAGCAAAATTAAAACCCCTGAACCACTTGGTATCATATGTTCTTGACAGGTAACTTAGTTACTTGAAAGAGCAAGAAACAAAATGCAGTTATGAAAATCAATGCAAAAGGCAAGAATAGAGGCATGGCCCATTCCACTTGTGAGTTGATGTGCCTGAAGCATCTATTTCAAGAAATCGGCATTCCTATTACAGCACCCATATAATTGTTTTTCAATTATTGGGCAGATTTACATATTGATCCAATCTCAAAATCATAATGATTGGATTGCCGTTTTGTGACAGAAAAGATCCTTTACGGAGATATATCTATAATTTTATATCAAGTATGAACTAGTTGACCTGTTTACTAAGGGTTAGAGTACAGGTAGGATAGATTGCACTTTCTTGCCTAAGAATAGTCTAATCTTCTTTAAAATATCTAAAAGAATCTCCAAAAAAAACAAAAATAGAATAAAGTTGAAGTCAATCTAATCAAGAAAGAGTACAGAGAAAATTATAGAAACACCCCTGCCAACACAAACAATGAAAAAACCAGAAAATAATAATAAAACTAAAAAAACTAAGACTGTCAACAATTTGTAACAAGCTTGAGGAGTGTTGAAGTTTTTTATTTAATGGGAAACATCAGGAAAGCAGGGTATTTTAGTCTTTATATGTACTTATGAGTAGAGTTGGCTATAATGTAATGTAACTTAAACAGGGCAGGAAAGAAATTTTAGTCTCTTGTAATTAGAAGTATATAGCAGTAGACAACTAGGTCGAGAGAGTTTTTCTTCACCAATTAAACATTCTCAGACTTCTATCCTCTCTAGTTTGTTACCAAACACTTTTTTTTGATAAATTACCAAACACTTAAATTTGGACAGTAACAATAATCTGCTACATTCTATCTAGATGTTGCAGATAGAATGTAGTTGGACCGCTGAACCCACACTAAATTTTATATTTGAAACATGAACCAAAACTATCAACATAATTAGAGGACTTCTTACACACTCTTAGAAAGAGATCACCAGATGGACTGACATAGTCATATTCAGCATCTGGAAAAGTCAATGTTCCACTATTCAGGATCTTCAGGAACATTTCAAAATAAACATCCCAATTTCTTATATTCAGTTTTCAGTCTCTCCATTGCTTAAGGATGACAAAATTCCACACTTCCACTCTGATATTGCATTTTGAAATTTTTAAAACCAGTATCATTATACTGGTGGTTGATTATCAAAAGAAAAAACAAGAAAGGTATTCCTCTCAATGTCATATCCACATGCTTCGATCCACAGATATATGAATCTGTCAGCATAAATCAACAGAACAACATTTTATTTCTTAATCACAAAATATGTGATAAACTATTTGGATGTGACAGTGTCTTTAGCTTTGTGCAAGGTATTGGTAACAAAAAAGAAAATAATGTTGAAGAGTTTCAAAATAATATAATGACTTAAGAGGGCAATGACCTATTAACCAGAAAACAATGACCAAGTACCACAGAACATAAAAACAACTATCCCAAAAAAAATCCAGATTACAAAGAAACTTGAGCACTGAACATCTCAGAATTCACAATGCTCCATACACCAATCGCAATGACCAAGTTATAATTTTCTAAGAACACAAAAGAAAAGAGACTTAAACATGAGTTGACTTGATAGCCTGCATCCACAAGGAAGAGAACCCTATAATTCCACTAATTGTGAAAATAGATGAATATATGAGAACCCTAAATTCTAGCCTTCTCTCTCACCCTTAACACAGACAGAAAAAAGACTTTGAATGGGAAAAATCCAACAATACAAAGAAGAAACACGACTCAAACAAAGAAATATAACCCACATCCTAAATAAGAAGCAACCTAAGACACAAACAAATCCTAGTAAAATAAGATACATACCAGCAGTCATTTGTGTGATGCATGGTCAAGTATTTTCCTTTTTCTAGCAGACAACAAACCAAACTTGGATCCACCACTCTTTTTGGTCTATGCTGATATCTGCTGCCTATCATTAGATTTTGAATTATTGGCAAGAGTAATTGAATTGCTAACACATTTCCCATCATCTACTAATATACCTTTATTGGATAAAAATGTTTGGCATTGTCTATTTAGTTAAATCAATCACAATCATTTCTAAATGACATCAGGCATTTCCACCCAAACGTTATTGATTTCAAGAAAAATTATGATGTCAATGAGAATAAACCGTATCCTTTTGAAGAACTTGAAACATAGCTATCTAAAATGCAAATAAGGATCTTTTAACATGAAATTATAATTTAGTTCACACATTAAAACATCATTACTTACCGATTGGGTACCATTGGAGTTGTTTTAACTTTTGGCTGCACAACATGTCCGATTGCAAAGATCCCACCTCCATTTACATTATCTAAGCAGTGAGCAAACATCTTTCTCATTTTTCCAGCTGAAGCAAGCTGAGAAATCATGGATGCATTTGATTGTCCAAAACCAAGTATTCCATCCAGTGCTGCACTTGACGAACCTAGATCACCAGATTGTTTAGCACCACACCTATCCAAAAATGTAAGCAAATAAATAAATTAGGAAGTAATGTAAAAAGACATTTTAGCAGCATTGGCTACAAAGAAAATGGCAGAAAATAAAGGTAATTCATAATAAGCATCATTTGGTTGCTCAGAAAACAAGGATTTTTTTTAAGATGATGTAGAACCCACTATAATTTTAAAGTTTGGTTGTAAAAATAAATTTGAAAAATTCAACCATTTCAGATAGGTTCTACCACCTTCCCCTTTCAGCTGGGATTGGACCAACTTATTATACCTATGTTCTTTATACAATGAGAAAAGAAGATAAGAAGCTTGCTGCTTCAGCACATGAAGCTTGTTGCTTTACCTATTTTCTCAGTAATTTTAGCATCTTCAAACCAGGGAAGTTTCCTAGTTGGTTTGTCTAGTGAAGAAGCATAAATGATTAAAGAAATTACCACTTTATGACGGTCCATCTCACCAACAGCGCCATCAGCACACCATCCAAGTGTCATCATGTATGTCTTGGGTGGGGCATTGTATGCTTTTTGTACGGGGGGTATACCAATGGCAATATTATAATTACAAGTGTTGAAGATTAATCAGTTTTATGATGTTTTTCTGAGTAGATGTTTTATGTTAGTTGTTAGATAGGAGGGGGGCCACAGTAGTTATGTGAGTCCAAATTTTGTTATGTTTTTGAGTATTATATATGCTGTTTTATGTTTTGCCGCCCTATAAGGGCATAGTTGTCTTTGTACTGTTCTATTATTTTTAGTATAAATAATAAGTGAAGGGGGCAGCCAGGTTCTTGCTCTCTTTTCTTTCAACTTCTCTCTTCTCCTCCTACTCTCTTCCTTCTCTCTTCAAGAAACTACTTTTCTTTCATATTTTTTAATTCAGCAGATTTCTACTTGGTATCAGAGCATCGGCTAGGGTTTCTTGAAGCATTCTCATGCAGCCCTAGATAAGCCGACTGCATGAAGTAGTAAAGGGCTGATCGATCTGCTATAGATTGCCCAGTTCTTGGATTTTTTGGTGGGATCTAGTCATCAGGAAAGTGATCTACTGTTCGGCATCAAAATCAGGAAGAACTGGAGTATAGGGAAGAGTCCCAAAAAAGTTGGACTCTTTGTTTTTTATCTGATCTTGGGCACCTAGGTATTGTTAGTTTTCTTTTGATTTTCTGAAGGGGGTAGTTTGGTTTCAAGAATTTTCTGAGCCTCCTGGAGTGATCGATTCACTCTTCTCTCTGTTGGGAGGCGTGGGGAGGAGAGAGATTTCTCTCCAGCTAGGGCTTTCTTCTTCCGGAAGGGTTGGTTTATGTGTGTGTGATATTAATTTATTTTTTGAAGGTCTCCAATCTATTTTTTCTTACTGTTGAACTGTTTGAATTAAGATGGAGAGTTGGAATACCGAGATGAAATCTACCGGTACTGTGGGACTGAATGTTGGAGGTAGTAGTGATATTTTTGGGTCTGGGATCATTACTATAGTAAAACTTGATGGTACAAATTATTTGGAGTGGGCACAATCAGCTAAGATGGTATTGGTGCCCGTGGAAAATTAGGGTATCTCACTGGGGAGGAGAAGAAACCTGATACAGACTCTTCCCGATGGGTGCAGGAGAATTACATGGTAATGTCCTGGCTATGTAATTCTATGTTACCTCATATTGCAAAAAATTTCCTATGGGCTAATACTGCTATGGAGATTTGGGATGGAGTGACCGAAACCTACTCTCAGAAG